TCCAAAGATTATAAGTATTACCTTCACTTTCATGTTCTGTAATTATTGCTGTTCTATTGATGAAGTTCTTGATATTTCTTTTCTCATTTTCTCATCTCCAGTTCTTGCTAACATTTTGTTAGGTGCTTTGGAAGAACAATGAGAGCATGACTGTCACATTTATATAACCCTATTTTTCCAGTTCTCTTTTGAGGCACAAATGTCTGCTCATCTTTTCACTCTGCTTCAGCTGACCAGATATACATTAGTATATATGGAAAATGGGAAGTGAATTAAGGTCCTATTTGATAGATAACTTGGTCTTACATTGTGTCAGTGATATAGCTAGTCTATAAATAGCAAGAATAAAAGAAAGACTATAGTGTACATGATGTTATGCTGATGAATTGGCACTAACTGGTACCTCACATCTCTAGCTAGACTGTCACATGATAGCTAATTTAAGAGAGTTAATTAAGTTTTTTTTTTAATGCAATTCTTTTATTATGATGATTGTTTTGAGTGATCATTCACAATTAAAGAAAAGACTGAAATGATAGAAATCTGGTTCTACTGGCATATATACTCAGAGTACTGTGGACAAAGCTATGAGGAAGTTTTATGGAAAATAGGAAGTACAATGAAACTTGTATTTACAATCAGAAAAAGAATTTCTGGGACACATAATGAGGAAAGAGTGCCTAGAGAATTTATCATTCAAAGGGTATACCGAAATGAGTAACCTACTTAATTTGCATGAATGGATAGCAGAGAACCAAGATAGAGAAGGGTAGTAAAAGATAAAAAATTACTTTGATCAACAAAAGACGGTTGTGGGGACTTATTTTTAAAGTAGTCCTGAAAGTCATAAGCAGTGAAATTCAAAACTGAGTCATGCTGAGCTTTCAAAATTACATGATTGTTTTTTTATAAGCAATTCATTTTTACAAAATATTCAGCAACTTCACGACTACCATCAATATGATTTATAAAACAAAAAAAAAATGGAAAACAGAATTAAAAAAATGGTTATATGCTATTTTATATATAAATATAAAGATACATAATTTTATGCTAAGTCTGCAACAAGGAAAGTTGGTTTGCTGTGTCATGCTAGACAATTTTTCTCTCCAGAATCTATCTTAAATATTTATAAGACTACCATTTGTCCTAGTTTTGAATATTGTTGTCACATCTAGCCTGGTGTTCCTGCTATATAGAGATTCTTGATAAAATCTGAAGAAGAATCTTCAATGTTATTGGTCCTGACCTGGCATCTCAGCTTCAGTCACTGTAACATAGCTTCCCTGGGCATTTTCTATAAATACTTTCATGATAATTGTTCTGATGAACTTTCCTTTATGGTACCTAGACTTTATAAATTTAAAAACAATACTATATTGGTGGCAAGGTTTCACCATTTTACAGTTGAAATGGCTAGATGTAACCATAAGTTCTATGCTAATATTTTCTTCTCTTGCACTACTCATTTGTGGAACTCTCTTCTGGCTTCTTGCTTTCCAGTGAACATTGATCTTCAAATATTTAAATGCAATGTCAATCATTATCTTCTGTTTTCTTAAGTGTTGCTTTTTATTGTCTTCTCTCCTTGACAGTATATTTTTCTTGTATTCTCTAATACTCAGTAACCTTTTGTATTTTAGTGGCTTTATTGCCTTGCTTGGGTTGAAATGATTAACAAAAAATATACAGCACTGAATGGGGGAACATATGATCTATAAATTCTATATATCAATCTAAAGATAGGTAAATGAATGACAAAATAAAAAAAAAATCCCATGTAACATGTTTCATTCTTCAAATACACTTCTTCAGAATAAATAACATTTTTATTAATATATGAAATCATATATATGTAGGTGAAGGGAATGAAAATATAAACAAATTTGGGTTATAGTTTCTCATGGTGTTTAATTATAATGAACATTTGTTTATATTTTTGTCCTCTCCCCCATATAGGATTCCATCAATAAAATCATTATTTAGTCTGAGGAAGTCTTTATATAGGATTTTTTCAAGGTGATAAGGTATAAGGATTGCCTTGGATTTTTTCATTTTGTCACTCAATTACTCAACATATAATGTCTCTGTTATAGACAAGTGTATGGTTGCAAGAAAGAAATACGACAACAGCAGAAATAGATTTACGTGATTTATTTCAACAGGAACGTGTGGGTTTGGGACAGTTACCTTGTGGTATAGTTCATAGGCCGGTTTTTGATCTGGGTTGATCTCTCATAGTAGTTCACACTGGTTGGCACTGGCACTCCCCCTGCTGACTGCTGCTAGCCGCTCAGCCTAACTGTGACAGGTCTTTTCCCTGGCCCCCTGTTGACTGCCGTTGTACTTCCGTGTGACCCCTTTTATGGTGTTTTTTTATGGCTTAACAGGCTCGAAAAACAATGCGAGTATAATTAGGAGGGAAGCATTTTAATTGGTCAAAAAATAGAAACACTTTGAAATATTATTTTATTTTTAACAAGAACTTACTGTGGCAGGAACATGCGTAAATGAAGATAATGGTCATTTTGTGACGGGGCCTTGTCCTATTCACATCCAACTCTCACTCTTGAGTATGTTAGTTTATTTGTCTGTAAATCAACCGAGATATGTCTTATTTTATTTTATAACATCTCTTGAAAACATTCTCAATAGGCTCAAAGATTATTGATCTTCAAATATGTTTTTAAGACTGACATATATTTTATAACTGTATATCAAATTAAATTATTACATCTCCTTGAAAATATTCTTAAAGAAATGTAAAAGACGGAAAATTTGTTTAGCAAACCATTTAAAAATATCTCTTTACCTAAAAGATAATTTTGAAAGATGAGATTTCTTAACAGAGAAATTTTTTCCAGGCCTCATTCTCAAATTGTTATTTAGGACTAAAGCAATGTATTCAACAATAATTATATATCAAATAATTGTACATATTAATGAATATTGTGACTTTTCCATATATTTCTTTCTTTCTTTTTTCATAATTTCTGTCATACTAAAGCAAAAAGATATGTAAATTAACAACTGAATCTTTCCCTGATCTGATCATCTAACCTAAAAGTAAAATGACATCCACTTCAGTATTCTATTGTTTGAACAGTATGGTAAAATAAACTTGTAAATACTAAGTGAAGCATAGTATACACTGATCCAAGAATAATGGCAAGGAATGACACTTTGATCTGTGGCAGAATGTACAGATACTACACTGATCTGAGACAAAGAGCTATGGAATGGCACCATGATCCTACACAGAGTGCACAAATACTAGACTGATCCAAGACAAAGGGTCAGGGAATGACATTTTGATCTGAGGCAGAATGAACAGATACAACACTGATTCAAGACAAAGGGATGGGGAATGACAATTTGATCATAGAAAGATTGCACAGATATTAGACTAATCCATTCTACAGCGTATAAGAATGGCACTTTTATACTCGGCAATGCATATAGAGAATCTGATTGGCAAAGTTCAACATATATACTCATAAGATGGTGTTTTTTTTTAAGTATTTTATCCCAAGCAAGGCAGGAGTGCCACTAGTATGCAAGGGGCTACAGAGACTGAAAATTAAGGGAAAAGACTGGGTATAGGGGGGGGATTGAGAGAAGGATAAAAAGAACAGGGATCAAGGCGTTAGAAGATATTGATTGACATTACTTTTAAATTTTTGAAGATTATAGTTATCTGGGAAGCAAGTAAGAGGAAGGGAGTTCTATTGTTGGGAAGTGCAGGAGTAGAAGAGGCGGTTACATTTAACTTTTTCAACAGTAAAAGGGTGAGGCAGCAATGCCAACTTAGTAGCATGCTTAAATCCATGCAGGTGAGGCACCAGTGAAAATAGCTCATCAGAGTAAATGCCATGAAAATGTTTATAGAAAAGACAGAGGGAAGCCACATTACATCAGTGAGAAAGTGACTGGAGTGGAGACCCCAAGTCAGGACTGATCACATTGCATATACGTCTTTGGATTTTGTTGAGAACCTTGAAATGAACAGCGGGGGCACCAGACCATATATGGCAACAGTATTCAATGCATGGACAAATAGTAGATTTGTAGATTGAAAGATGGACTCAGATGAAAAAAAAATCTGGTACAACACTTCTTGTGGAGTTGAACATCAACCATACTGATAGGAGACAGGGAAGTTTCTGTATTGTGAGTGTTTTGTTTCTCTTGGTATCACAATTACTATATGCTCTGTTGTCAATTTTGGGATTTATGCAAGTCTCTTTTTTTTTTTTCAAGAATTGACAACAAAGAATTAAATACTATTCATTTAATTAGATTGTTAGTTTACAAGGCTAATTTTATATTTACATATTTATAAAAATATGTGAACCAACTGCAATGCAATAATTATTATTTATCATATTATAAAAGAAATAACTATGAAAAGAAATTATTTCATTCATAAATTTATAAAATGTGGGTAAATAAGTGAAGAAAATTTAAATAAAAAATAACTCGAATAAGTGTAATTATGAATTTTAGAAAAATGCATTTTTCAAGCATTTCTTTCATTTACTTTCACCACATAAATTCACTAAAACATTTTACAAGTGTCTGGATTTATACTTTTTTTGTGATAATTGATAACAAAAATAATAAACACTATTTATTTATTGACATTATTTTCGACTATTATCCTCATCTTCAATGCCATATTCACAACGTTTCAGCCATTGTACGCTCCCTTCTTCAGGTGATTAGAATTTCAAACCAAACCCTTTATTTCATCCACCATTTATGCAACCTCATTAAGTAGGCTACTCAGTATTTTCTTTTGTGCCCCTTGTCTGCCCTGTGAGTGTCAAATTCTCCAAGCTTTCTTTCTTCATTGTGTATTTCCAGAAATTTCAACTCTTTCTAAGTATCTAAGTGTCCTTTTCATTCCCATTTTCTTTCAAACCTCTTTGCTGCTCATATGTTTTGTCCATCATATTTTCATCATCTTTTCTTTTAGAACCATGTTGCCTAATGAGGTTTATGGCCATATCATGTTGAAACATTGGTTCCCATGCAATCACAGAAGTTAAACAACATTGAACCTAGCCAGTACCTGGATTGGTGATCACCTGGGAATACCAAGTGCTGTAAGTTTGGATGTGTGGGTGGTTTAATGGCTAATGGCATGGAATTATTAATCAGAGAGCCAAGTTCCAATTCTTGTTGGTTTCATTATATCAAGTTCATTATATTCACTTACACACAAATACACCTGAGAAAGGTATGAATCCACCTCTTCTCCCCGCGATTGGCAGAATAAGGGTTAGAAGAGATAGTAAAATGACAAACATTGCTAATATGTACAAAGGTTAGGTCAAACCATACTAAGAGTTATGAAGGATATAAAATTGTGGATAGCCATGATTCTCATGTACTGAAGGGACATGACACATAGAAGAAGATGAATTCAATAATACAAGTCTGACTAATTAGTCACATCTCATAATTATAAAGCAATAACTTTGAATTAAATAATTATTAAATAAGAACAATTAAATGGAAAAGCACTGAATGTACCAGATCATTGGTTGCTGGAAAATTGATGGTAACCTGGGATTAAAACTGTTTGTAAAGTGATATTCATTATCACTGATAAAATAAACAAAAGCTCTATCCATTTTCACATCTTGAATACTAATTCCAATGTTTGTATTTAATGGTTAGTGGTTGTTTAAAGCAAGAAAATATTTAGATTCTAAGAATTTTTTAAAGATAATAATGATTTAATGATATAAGCTATTAGTAGGACTTATATCACTAGATCATTATTATCACCAAAAAAAAAAAAAATTCTTAGAATCTAAAAGAAAATTTTTTTTCTACCTTTAACTATCCTGCAAAAGGTCAATAAAATGGTAAAAATGAATCAATTAATCAACTGTTGCCTCAAGTCTCTGCTTAACCTGTACTTTATTAATTCCAGCAAACTTAGGCTCTTTATATATAACTTAAAGTTACAAGAAGTTTTAGAAATATTTTCATGGTAATTGTTTAATGAGCTTTTATCACTAGTAGCTTGACTACATAAATTTAAGTGTACAACTAGATTGGCAACTAGGTCTCACCAATTTAAATATTTTTTAAAATTTTTGAAATAGCTAGATTCAGCTGTATGTTCTATTCTAATAGTTTATAAGTCACTTCTGATTTCTTTCTGCCTTGCCACCCACAATCTTCAAAAATTCAAATGCAATGCCAATCACCATCTTCTGTTTTCTTAAATCTTATACTTTTATTGTCCTTTCTTCTCACTAAAGTCTTCTCATTTTCTTTCATTATCAACATTCCTTTGTGTCTTAGTTGTATTATAGACTTGCTTGAAAGGAAATGATTAAAAACAAAAAAAATCAGTATCCTAGCATATTCAAAGGATAATTTGAAGAACCATAAACAGAATCAAGTACACTTTATTATTTTGTTAAAATAAATATTATCTACAAGTAAAGTTTTCAGTGTTATATAGTCTGTATGTTTTTACAACAACTGCATTTATTAAATAGAACTTATTAACCTAAAAAAGGCTTGTGCCTTTCATTTACCAAAGATTATTTGTTTTTTATTTCATATTTAAAACAAGTGTGAAAACTTTCTTTTCTAGATTACCTTAAACAAAGGATTATAACACTTAGTCATTGTGCACATAAGTGGATCAGTTAGTCTTAATGTAATTGTTACCTAAATTTTGATCATAAATTTTCATTGTATAATGTTCAGTCTATGTGATTGATATTCATACGAAATTAGATGTATTGAGATTATGTCGAAAAATGAATCTTTTGTTCTGTAAAATAAATGCATGAAAAAAATCATCATTAGGCTACTGACTTATTGATACTGTTGTGTTCTATTCTTTTCGTCATTCATGTAGGTGTGGCTTAATAGTGTTCTTATGAAAAGGTGTGGCTTATTATGATTGTTTGCAGTACATTCTACTTTCTACCTGTCTACGTGATTTAATCTTGCTATTTTCTGTGAAGCCCTTTCTGATAACAAAAGTAGGATTTGTATATCTACAAATTACAGGAAAGGAACATCTTTTATGATGCAGGTCTCAACACTCCTTCTTTTTTGTCTTTTTTAGTTGTTTTCGATTTCTTTTTTTCTTCCAATTTTTCCTTTTTTTTTCTTCTTTTTCTCCTACTTTTCAATTCCTGTCTCTTATTTTCAGTTTATTTTTTTTTATTCTTGTGCACTTAGCTTTTGCACCTTTTTATTTTCTTTATTCATAGAATTTTGTTAAGCCAAATTTAGCCTTCTGTTCATTCTTTCTTTTTTTCTTTCAATCATTTATTTTTCTCTTTATATTCTTTTTCATCTCAAATGATATTTTTTTTTTTTGTTTTTGGCTCACTCTTGGCTAATCCTTTACCCCACTCTTTTTTCCTCCATTTCTCTCTCAATTACTCTTTTAAATCTTCCATTTCATGATAATTTAAACATTGTTTTTCTGTAGACATAAATATTTTTTGTTTCAATCCAACTACATCCTTTTAGTTTGGGGGATTTGTTACATGAATTTGTCTGTTTTTGATATGCACACAAGCACACTGATACACACATAAACATATACACATATATATCTGCATTCTTCTGTTTCTAGAAAAAATATATGTATGTATTTCTAAGGAATCCAAGTTCAAATCCTGCCTTGGGGCTTATATTTTTTTAAGTTTTCTTGAGTACAAAGCCCAGTAGACAAAATACATACTGTTTAAAACAAATGAGCATCTACTCAAATATGAGTATCTGCTAAAACTAACATCTGAAACAATATATGTCAGAGTAGAAAAAAATCCATCAATTCTTTAGAAACTGTTTTATTTACCAACATTGATGTCATGATCCTGAAAGCCCAACTCATACAGATGGGGCATGTCATCCAGATGCACAGCAACAAAAGCAACTTCTATATGGCAAGCCCTAGAAAGAAGAAAGAGGAAACATGGTAGGCCATTGAAATGTTTTAAATACTTCATCGAGGCTAACATTGCCCATACTGGAATAGCCCCCAAGCTACTTGAAGAGTACACCCGATTGAACTGTATGGCATGCCCTGATGCACAAAGAAACAGGGACATTAAATCCAAACTGACAGCAGTAGTAGAAGGCCTACAAACCTCCAGGCCAGTTTCCCTGTCCCCATTTCAGATGTCTTTGCCATTCCTGCATTAGGCTCTACAGTCATCTTAGAGTTCATCTGGCACTAGTTATATATATTGGATGTGGCAACCAGTCTAGGAAAAGGAAAAGTGAATTCACAACTGCATATAGCCCTGGCATTGCACAACCTTTGTATGCACACATGGACAAGATCATTGAGCTCCCAATAACTTTATAAACTTGAGTGTGGTTAAACTATGACTATATCAATCTATTATTATTATTATCATTATTATTATTATTATTATTATTGTGTGTGAGTGTGTATGAGAATGGATGAATAATTTTTCAGCTTGATGCAGTTATCTGAATTTTTACCTGAGATTTTCATTGCATAATGTTTGTAATATTTAATTACTAGAAAAGCATTAGCTTCAGTGGTCTAACAAGGAAGAAGATTATGTTAAACATGTTGGGGAAAATAAATGTTTATTTTTTTATCATTAGAATATAAACCTGCTTCTTTTTTTAATTATTTCACCCCAAGCAAGGCAATAATGCCACTAAAATGCAAGTGAAAGCTGTTGATGAGCGCACAAATATATATATATACACCCACACACAAATGAATGTGGAGTTATACACAGACATATATTGACATACATAATCTAAATGTAAACATGCACTCAGAGAGATGCACCAAGATAACACCTGAACTTATAGGTATTATTATTAATAATAATAAATATTATAAATACCTAAAACTCTATATATGCATGAATATTTCCATAGCCAACAGACATAAATCTACTTGTGTAGAACATACAAAATTACACAATATTCTTAAATGTAGGATAGCAGATGAGATTGTCATATTTTTGCAAATATATGCACACTTACCAGCATTTATGCAATTAGGCTGACAAATACATAGTTGCAAAATAGACAGAATGTGTTCAGTACAGAGCAATCTAACTTGAAAAGCTGACAATTTACCTAGTAGACTCTTAAAATTTTATAAAAGTGTTAAGAGTTTAAAATAATTTATATTTAATATGATTGCTGGCTTTTATAACATTACACTCAGAAAAATATATCTGTATGAGTATATTTGAGTTTTTATATATAATTATAAGACATCTCTTTATCTCATATATGAGAGAAATATATATATATTCTCTCTCTCTATATATATATATATAAATATATATATATATATATATATATATATATATATATATATAAATATTCTATATATATATATATATATATATATATATATATATATATATATATATCTGTCTCTCTCTCTTCTTTATATATATATATATATATATATATTCTATATATATATATATATATATATATGAGAATATATATATTCTATGTATATATATAAATTTTTTCATATATATATATATATATGTATATACATTTAAAAAATATATAGAAAGAAAAGCAGGATATTTTCAAAGAAAAATTGTATATCTTCCACTTAGAAACAAAGAAAAATTTTATTCAGTAGTAATTCAGCCTCAAGGATGGACACAATACAGCCTCAGAAGAAACTACTTGTCCTAATGAAGTGGTTCCTATTCATGTTGGCTTTTATAATCATGATGGTACCTGTAAGTGTGCCTTTAGTATGGTGAAAATGCTGCTTTCTCTCCTTTTTGATAAAATCCCAGATAGAGTAGTTTCAAGGATTTAAATCAGGAGGGATCGGACACCATATATTTGGAATGACATTGTCATGAAAATTTTTTCCAGTCACTCTCAAATTAGATGGGCTACATAAATATTTGCATTTTATCCTTTCATATGTAACATGTGTAGCCAATCCCTCAAGCCAGAGCTTGACAACAATGTAACACTTGGTTGAACTGACCCTCAGGCTCTGCAGGGGAAATGGACTGCAGAACATCCAATTTCATTGCTCAAAACCCCAAAAAAAATTAAAAAGCAAGGAACTTTGTGTACATTAAAGTGAG